CACAACTTCAGTGCCATGCACGTCCCCTTCAATGTGGTTTTAGTTCTTTCGAGCACTACTCCCTCGATAAGGTGGCTCTGCTCAACATCCAACACAACAAGGAAGCCTTGAAGAAGTTCAACGACGAATATTGGAGGTCATTTTTTGACTTGCATGTCGTGAAGAAGACTTGGCCGGGCCCATTGGCTCTAGCATGTGGATCAAGAAGGAGGGTCCCAACGAAGATAGACTCGGACAACATTATGAGCTTAAGAAGGTAACTCCTTGTCTTGGTCAAGCATTTCAACAAACAGTTTATTGGCATGAAAGGTTTGGGAATCAAACACCAAACAATTTTAACTTTATTTTAATTTTTTTATAGCTTATGTGTTGTCATAATTTTAAAATGGATCTAATGTGTAGGGTTTAAAATAATATTAACTTAAAAAATTCGGCCAAACTAGACCTATGAATATTGTGATGAATTAATTCTAACAAAAGAATTTAAAATACACAGCCAACTATTGTAATAGCAATTTTGGTTTAACTAAAAAATAAAATATGCAAAACCATGAATTGAATAAAAGCTTAACCATGATTTTCGGATTCTAAAAGCCTAAGATACCAGACATGTACTTCTTTGTAAAATATACGTGTGTCGAATACGTGTCGGACACCGACACGTTCCGACACGCGGTCAATATTTTAGAACACGCGGTCAACTCTCTGACATGTTTCGACACATTTTTCTCACACGTAATCAACTCTTTCCGACACGCATCCGACACGTTTTTTTTTACTCTTAATTTTATTTTACTTACTAAACATAAAAAAAAATTATAAATCAATTTTATTCTGTTATGAAATTTGACATTAAAAATTAATAAGATACGAAAAATTATTTTTATTTATATAAAATTTGAATATTTGATTGGTTATATGACTTATTATAAACTTGTTATATGTATTAAATATAAATTATATTATATATATTAAAAATATTATTTAATATCAAAACGTGTCCCAAAGTGTTAAAATATGACATTTTTTAGAATTAACGTGTCGACGTGTCGTGTCGTATCCCGTGTCAGTGTCCATGCATCATAACTGAAAGCTAAACCAAACCTTTAGTTATGAACGTTGACTATAATTCCCGCGAGCTATTAATGAAAATAAAATTTAGAGTAAAGACCCAAATTGGTCCCTGACAAAAAACTCGGTGCCCAAATTAGTCCCTCACAAAAATAAACTCGATAAATAGTCCCCAACAAAGTGAAACAGGACCCACGTTAGTCCTTCTGTCAATCCAAAACTGACGGTGATGACGTGTCACGTTAAGTGACATGCTGGAGGCCACGTGGGTTGAGGAACGACGTCGTTTTGAGAGACTCATCCATGTTGGTCAGTATGGTCCCTAACAGTTTTAACAAAGGGGACCAGTATGGTCCCTAACATTTTTATCGGGGGTCCTTTTTAGTCCCTGCTAAAGTTCTGTTAACACCAGTGCTACCATTTGCTATTAACACACCAGTAATGGCATTTCCCCTTGTACATGTTGATATTAGTCAAGCATAACACAATCAACTTCTGCATAATTCACACCATGACATTCTTAATTTAGTCTTTATACATTGTTTCCATTCCTTTTTTTATATCCATCGAGTTTATACAACATTTTGTGCCAATAAACATAACTTCAAATACATAAGCCATGCTACATACATTGCATTAACAACAATTCATTACACCAGCAAATCTCAACAGAACCACATTTTAAATTTCACTCCAGCCTACTTGCAAGATATATACATACTAGAAACACAACAATAATGGATCCAGCAAACACCCTAGCACACCTACACACATGCATCATTTCCTTCTCAACCCTTTCAAAGTCTGCCTGCATCTTCAATGATATGTCTTCAATCTTTATACAGTGCTCATGAAAAAATAACGATTGAAAAAACCCTAGCACACCTACACACATGCATCATTTCCTTCTTAACCCTTTCATGTGGCTTCATGATTGAGCTGTATTTGAAGTGTACACTTATTTAAAGCAGCTAACTTTGGACTTAATTGCATGCAATACATCATGCATTGCAGAGAATGTAGACAAATATGAGTTTGCTACGATAATCTGAGGAAGTAAGAAGGAATCAAAAAACTCTTTAGCACATTATAAAATGGCAACAACCAATGGATAAGTTTCTTTTTTATTGTTATGTCAAGTTGTACCGTTGCTTGCTTAGATGGATATCTCCACCAACCATTGTTATGTCTTTATCCTTTTTGTTATTTTGTTTACCCTCTAAAAAAGATAAATACTTATACTACTCTTTACAACTAATAACAGGGTAAATCAAATATAATGCTACATGATAATAACATGATATTCCTACACGCACAGTTATATAGTCTTATTCCTTAATTTTTTTCTCTCATCTCTTTTCTCTCTTCTCAATTGTATATGTAAAAACATCATGTAACATGATAATGTAACATGCTATTTCATTTACCCAATAATAAGGGTGTTACTTTTTTTTATGTTACAACGGATAAAAATCCTCTCATACACGATAAAATACAATGTGAATTCCACTTTGTGTTTTTCTCTCTCCTCCATATAGTGGAATCCATATTATATTTTGTGTGTCCACAAGAATATTTCTCTCCCATGTAGCAACAAAAATAGTCTATCTGTTTAGTCATATAGGCTTTTCAGTTGCAGTCTTGATATAAGTTCAAGTTTATGATAAACTCTATGCAAGTGGGAACGAAAAATATTATGGCCAGTGGCCACCAATACAAGTCTCATGTGATAAATATGAACACGCATTAACATATTCTTCGTGTATGAATGGTTTCTTTAATAAAATAGAGTAACCATTAACAAAATAATGTCACAGACTCACAGCTTGACTATGAAACCTTGAAGTTATTAACTAAACAATAGCAACCATTCATACATAAAAATATAACTAAACATTGACACAACATTAGAGAAAATAAAGTTATTGTTTTTTTTACGAGGTTTTTCATGTAATCGTATACGTAAGTTTCTATATAAAAATATATTTAGTAGTTTAGGGATGTAGTCTCTTTAGCATTGTCATTAATTTATCTTCACTTCTATCTTTATTGAGAATATATTAAAATCTCATGTAAATTGTAATGCCTTCTCCTTCACCACTATCTGGCACGTAAAATTCAATATCTTGACTAATTGAAGTGGCAAGATTCCTTTTAGTTTCTATGCTTGTTCAGATTTTTCTTGCAAGAAAATTTAAATGTTCCGTAGAGGTGACAGACTATTGATTATTTGACAGACTATCAACCCTTGCATGTGGACTTTGAAAGGGTTGAGAAGGAAATGATGCATGTGTGTAGGTGTGCTAGGGTTTTTTCAATCGTTATTTTTTCATGAGCACTGTATAAAGATTGAAGACATATCATAGAAGATGCAGACAGACTTTGAAAGGGTTGAGAAGGAAATGATGCATGTGTGTAGGTGTGCTAGGGTGTTTGTGTTGGATCCATTATTGTTGTGTTTCTAGTATGTATATATCTTGCAAGTAGGCTGGAGTGAAATTTAAAATGTGGTTCTGTTGAGATTTGCTGGTGTAATGAATTGTTGTTTATGCAATGTATATAGCATGGCTTATGTATTTGAAGTTATGTTTATTGGCACAAAATGTTGTATAAACTCGATGGAGATAAAAAAAAGGAAAGGAAACAATGTATAAAGACTAAACTAAGAATGTCATGGTGTGAATTATACAGAAGTTGATTGTGTTATGCATGACTAATATCAACATGTACAAGGGGAAATGCCATTACTGGTGTGTTAATAGCAAATGGTGGCACTGGTGTTAACAGAACTTTAGCAGGGACTAAAAAGGACCCCGATAAAAATGTTAGGAACCATACTGGTCCCCTTTGTTAAAACTGTTAGGGACCATACTGATCAACGTGGATGAGTCTCTCAAAACGATGTCGTTCCTCAACCCACGTGGCCTCCAACATGTCACTTAACATGACACGTCATCACCGTCATTGACACTGTCAGTTTTGGATTGATAGAAGGACTAACGTAGGTCCTATTTCACTTTGTTGGGGACTATTTATCGAGTTTATTTTTGTGAGGGAGTAATTTGGACACCGAGTTTTTTGTCAGGGACCAATTTGGGTCTTTACTCTAAAATTTATAACTATGATCTGTAACAGCTGGATGCAACCAGTTATTTGCTTGTTACTAAGTTGAAGGATAGAGTGAGCCAGATAGTTCCTCTGGCATAAGGAAGTGACCAAGACTAGCACAGTACAATAACACTTTAATGAGGTGGAAAGAAAGTCAAACAAAGTCAAAGTAGGCTCAACTCAAGTTCAATTTAAAAAGAAATCAATCTCACTTTCTTGGCTTATGTTTGATTCAGCTCAAGCTCATAATTATTTCAGCTTAATGAGTCAACATTAAATCTTATATTAATTGAAATTTTTTAACTTCAATGAATTATATTCAAATTTTTACTTTCATAATATTTAAACCCAGCTAAAAAAAATAAAATAATCAATAAAAAATATAACTCAACGCCATTATAGATTAAACTAAGGCATTGTTCTAATTAAAAAACTATGTTTATATATCGGTTCAATTTACAAGTTGATGAAACCAAAAAATTGAACTTCTTGTATTGATAATGAACCATGCAGAAACAGCAAACAAATTCACTAGTTAACTCACTTCCAGCGCTATTAAGATAAAAAATAAAATAAAATAAAGTTAATTTTTCTCTTAATGAATAGATAAAAACATATCTATTCTTACGTTTTAATAGATTAAAATTATAATAAACTTTAACAAACTCACTTTTCTTTCATAGAAATAGTTAACTTAGCTTACCAAAAAAAAAAAAAAAAATAGTTAACTTAAACTCAAGCATTGTCATAGGCACAGGAATAAGAAACCTGTAGCTAGTCTGCAAACCACTACTGAATAAACCCTACTCGCGTCTCACTCAATTGTAAATTTTAATACCATTCTAAGACGTCCAAAATATACATGAATTTCTTAATGCGAAATCCTTAAATGGTTATTCTCTTGCGTTAAAACGCGCTCGCGCGCGCACAGAGAGAAAGTGTGTGTGTAAACAATGACCTGCAATGATTATGGCATTAATAACTGTTCTCTCACCATAACAATAATGGCACTCAGGACAAGCAAAACGTGAGATAACTGGTCTCAACAACCGGGTTTCACAGATCAAATATGAGTATAAAAGAAATAATTTATGCCTCTATCTTGAGAAGGGAATTGAGCGAAGTACTGTTGAATCGCTGAGCAAGTCCTCGAATCACAAGAACAATAACATCCCGAATGTGTCGGGAGTGCACCATTAAGTCTGCTTCATTCTCACTATCCACTACAATCTTTAGACGGTGTTGATCATTCCTGAAAACCTCCACCTGATACATTTTAAGATCCACACAAGTAAATCAAGGATATAATAATCTGGCAATAAAATTACATAGTGGATGAGGGAAAATTAGTTTTCTAGGTCACCCAAACTTACATGAAATGGAGGGGCATAACTACCACGAATTTCTGTAGTTGGAAAAGAAGTCTTTGTAGCAGGCTTTACCACCTTGATCCTTTTCCTGTTAACTTCAAGGATTCGTCTCTCATATGTGCCCACTGAAGAAATCTAAAATAGCAATAAAGTAAAAAATAGGATTAGTCCTTCTTTTTTTTGGCTTTTGCACCTTTTTAAAAAGGGAAAAGTTAAAAAAATGGTTTCTCTTAAAGTAACTTACCCCCATATGCTTTATTTTTTATCACCTCCCTCTCCAATGGTTTTTTCCAATCCAAATCCAGTTTTAACACCATTAAAATTTTAATTAATTTGTCCATTTTGTCCCGTTAAAAATATACATTGGAGTTATTTTTGGTATGCCTTCTTTCTTTCCCTTATCTGGTGAGGACGCTCTAATTGAATTTTTACACGAAAGAAAATTGGCTCCCAGTAGAAAATTGTAGACTTATGTATTCTTTCTCATTAAAAGGGCTTTTTCATGCTCTTATCAATGTACAATCCCAATAGAAGTGTCGTAGGGCCTTGGGTTTCTTGTTGGTATCTCATTTAGTTGTTTTTGACTTCTCGTTCTCGGACTGAGAGTATGTTCTTAGACGCATTTTATTTTAGTGTTATTTTCTGGTTTTTGGATGAGCTGACAAAAATCATTTGGGCAAACTATATCCTTGCAAACCCTAACATGAACGAGAAAGAAGATGAAAGAATAAAACAACTCCAAAGTGATTTTTTTAAGGGGGAAAATGGACGAATTAGCTAAACTTTTAACCTTGTCAAAGTTGAACCTAGATGGAAACAACCATAGTGGATGTAAATAATCAACATTAACATCAACAACACCTTTATCCCAAATTAATTGGGGTCGGTGGAGTGGATGTAAATAATAAAAAATAAAATATAAGGGATAAGTGATTCTAAGAGCAACTGCATGGTAATTTTGAACTTTTCCTTTTAAAAAGTAATACATTCTAATTCCAAATAAAAACATCATAAGACTATTCAGGTACCTTTTTTGAGGTTAGGTCCTTGTCGCACAATACCTGCCACATAAGACAAGCAATGAGCTGATGAAGGATAAAAACATAGGTAATGACAGGAAAAGAAAGTGTAAAGAACCAATTCAATCCAAAAGTTTAAACTATTAGGTGAAGCTACGTTAATGGTTTTATATATCTAAACACGCCCCCTCACACGAAAGCCCACTGGGCTTGAAGGGTGGACAATATACAGGCTCACCTACCTGTGCGAAGAAAGAAATTCCACTTGAAAGAAAGTAAGGGGCGGTGAGGATCGAACTCGGGACACGAGGCTCTGATACCATGTAAAGAACCAATTCAACCCAAAAGCTTAAGCTATTAAGTGAGGCTACGTTAATGGTTTTATATATCTCAACAGAAAGGTTAAGAAAAAAGTATGGCATAAAATTGAGGCGAACCAAGATTATGATGCAAAGCTATCAAATTTTCGATGAGATTATTCAATGAATAGCATCTCAAACAAAACTAGTCAATGAGATACAAGAGGAACTCCAAAGTTAAGTTTAACATTTTAGATACTTGAACAATATGGTTTTACTGACAAGGCTTATTCTCCCAACTCCCAAGAATTATGAAAGGTTTCCTTCAGACAACAAAACAGCAGCAGAGCTACAACTTGGAATATTAAACCATAGATATGGCTACACTCAAGTCACCATTTATATTCTTTTTCTTCCTGTTTAACTTTAAGATATTTGTGACATATATATAGGTTTTTGTTCTAATAAGCGCAACCCTAGATGGACTAGAATCCCTGGATAATAGTTAATAGCTAATCATCCAGATAAGTATATCACAGTTTTTATTATATTGTTGTACCTTGTGGTAACGGTAGAGAGAACATAATCAACAATAGATTTTCATAATATGGTAATGACAATAAAACAAACGTATAGATATATCCCACCTCAAACTTGACTGAACCAAGATCAAGGTTCTGCTTCACTTCTTTAAGAACATCAGGCTCTGCATGGAATTAAAGGTCAGATATAATTTCCAAGTTCAGTGTAGAAAATCCCAGAATAATGCTTTAACCCAAAATTCCAAACTATATAGTGTACATTGTACACAAACCAAAGAAGCCAAACTGCAAAAGAGAGCACAAAAAAGGGACATGAAAAGATATGCACAGAAAGAAACGCACATGTATTTTGAATAGTTTGCAATTACAATAAAAGACCAGCCCACAGTTTTCCCCGCCATTATTTGGAATTTCCATACCTTGTAAGTTATAACAAGGATTATTACCAACTGTTTTACCCAGAAACCAGATATTTGAGGGAGAGCATCAACCCTTGAACACATAACCCTAATTGGTTTTGGGTTACAGATGATATCAGAAGAGAATTGAAGCAATACAACCAAAGAAGATTTAACAGATCAAATTCACAATTTTCTTAAGAAATAGAGATTAGAGGAATTGAAGTCTCATACAGGACATGTGGGGTGAGGTTGGTTAGTGCAAAAGGTTAGGGATTTAAAGGTATTAGTTTGGGTACCTGCAAGAATAGGATTTGATGGGAATACTCCAACACCCATTTTTTTCATGGGTACCGAATCAATTGTTAAATACTTATTACTTATTAATTCTATTTAATGCTTTCATAAACATTTATTAAAAATTAGCAATTAATAAATGTTTGACAACTCACCCTGAATTATTACATAATAAAATGTCAAAAGATAATTTACGTATACATTAAACCACTATCAATTAGATAAAGAATTTCAACTTACCAACTGCAATTGGTTCTGTCGATACAGAAATTGATTGGCCCTCTACTCCATCCTCTCTTACCGGAGTATAGATGGCCACCAACCTATAGCCAACATCATCAACATTTGCTTCATACATTCTGCTTGTTTCTCCTGGAATTTAATCATCGAAAAAAAAGCAGTTGGATTAATGAAGATACATAACAACATAAGCAATGGAACAAAATAGGGTTCTTGTATGATTTATCCAGGAAGCACGGGTATATCTTCGGGGCTGCCATATGTTTTCTTGGTATGTATGTATATGATACCAGTATGCATGCCAATATATATGCAACAAAGATAAATGCTAAAACTAATAATGATTAAGTTAACCAATTAGTAGGTATAAATAAAACCACCCTGCTATCAAGCCCTTTCAATGCACTGAACATTGATTATTTGCTCCACAACTGTGATGGATCAGTTTTAATAAATTAACGAAGAATACGAAATAGATATTGTTTAGATTTGCATATTCTGCATATATTTTTCTCTTCTTTTTGATGTAAATTGAAAAAGAAATATTATCAAACAGAAATTGGTAAAGTACAATGTTAGAGATATATAAAAACCATTAATGTAGTCTCACCCACTAGCGTAAGTTTTTGGGTTGAATTGGTTCTTTACATGGTATCAAAGCTTCAGTGACCACAAGGTGACGAGTACGATCCTCACTTCCTCCACTTTCTAGTTGAATTAAATAAACACAAGATAAATAATAAATTGGACTTGTGCAATATCCACGCTTCAAGTCCAAAGGGCTCTTGCGTGAGAGGGTGTGTTAGAGAATAATATAAACCATTAAAAAGGCCGTCACCCAACACCTTACGATTTTGGGTTGTCTTGGTTCTTTACATGGTATCAGAGCCTTGGTGTCACGGGTTCGATCCTCACCGCCCCCATTTTCTCTTGTAGAATTTCTTAACACAGGTAGGTGGGCCTGTGCATTGTCCACCCTTTAAGCTCAGTGGGCTCTCGCGTGAGGGGGTGTGTTAGAGATATATAGAAGCCATTAATGTAACCTCATCCACCAGCTTAAGCTGTTGGGTTGAATTGGTTCTTTGCATACAACTAAGAAGAGTAAGATATCCTCCAAACTAGGAAAAGGAAAAAGCAAGGAATAAGAAAGGGTATTTGTGTTAAGGGCCTCTGATTTTTCCCCTCCTCCATGCCATAAGGGCATTTGTATAACAGGTCATGTGAGAAATAAAAAGACTTACAATTCTTTAACCCAACTCAAAAGCTCACTTCAGCAAATGGAGGTATTAGGACTTCAGAGTCTCTTTATGATTGTAAATTCTTTTTCGTATTTCTAAAACTCTCTCAGACAGGCAATTTCTGAGGTTTTTAAGAACTCAGGTTCCTTCTACGGCATGGTCTTTTATTTGGAAAGCAATAAAATAATACACATAATTCGCAGCAAGGTCACTGACCGCATGACTTTCTCCCCTTATGTTTCCGTTTATGGGTTATTATTTGAGACTAACAGACACTGCTCTACTATGTTCACAACTAGATATCTTTGGTATAGACTTCACAGAATCTTTAGTGAATGTAAAATCCCCTCTGACAACGAGGAGCATTTTCTGTAAAATAAATTTAGGAGAAGGAGAGCGATTCTTTGGCATTTTCCAGTGTTTCCAGTTAGTCAAGTCAGAGTTAACGATTGGAGTAAAATGCCAGAATTTTCAAGCACAATTTTCAGCTGCTCCTCAATGTAGCACTCAACTAATTTCTTTTCAGAAGATGTTTCTTCCCCATTATTTTGAAGTACTAATTAAAAGGATTTCTTAGTTCTGCCTTATTAGAGTTCATGATACAGACGGAAAGCGAGAGAAAATGAAAAAAATAAAATAAAGGAAAGTGTAAAGAACCAATTACACCCAAAAACTTAAGCTGTTGGGTAAGGTTATATTAATGGTTTTATATATCTCAACACGCCCCTTCACACGAGAGCCCACTGAGCTTGAAGGGTGTACAATGTACAGGCCCACCTACCCGTGCGAAGAAAGAAATTCCACTAGAAAGAAAGAGGGGGGCGGTGAGGATCGAACCCGGTACACCGAGGCTCTGATACCATGTAAAGAACCAATTCAATCCAAAAGCTTAAGCTGTTGGGTGAGGTTACATTAATGATTTTATATATCTCAACAGAAAGTCAGAGAGAGAGAGAGATACAAGGAAGGACATGTGTTCTGAATCTGAACTGCAATTCTGTTTTGAATCACATATACAGAGAACAGCTCTATAATATAGATCAGACAGATAACTATGACTGATAACATGCACATTAGATACAAACAGAATCCACTAACAGAGTTTGACAGTCAAGTCTAACAGCTAACTGTTAACATCAAAATAGCTACACTAACATGTCTTCGCATCTATTTTTTTCCTGTTCCATTAAGACAAAAAATCATGGGATCTATTGCTGTAATAATAATAATTATTTTATTTATTTATAGTTGTATTCTAGAATCATCCTTGGGCTTAGCCCATTAGGTCATTTAGCCTCTTTAAATAGAGAGCCCTTGTATAGTTGTAATACACAATTTGTCAAATAATATTATACTTCCTCTTATCAAGTTGGTATTAGAGTTCTCGATTATGAGGGCTTTGCTTTTGCGACTGCCGCCTTTAGAGCGGAACTCTATAGGTTTGCCTCTCGCCGCAACCAAAAAATTTTCTGGGGACCTTTTGGACTGAAAGGACCTTTGTTTGACTCTCTTTTCTACGGATGTTACTGTTCATCGCCAGAGTCAGAAGTTGTTTGGGTGTACATTTGGTTGATTTTGTAGCTGTTTTTGGCTTATTCTTTGCATTATGGCCGATTTCGATGTTGATTTGACTGTTACACAGCCTACACATGTCTCTCCATATGTGAATATTCGGCAAGGGGAGTTGGAGCAGCTTAAGACCGCTATTGATAATCTGTGTAAGCCATCTGAAAGTTCTTTGATCTTGTCTGGAAGAATATACATTCTACATCTCTTCTTGCTTCTTGCACTGATTTTAAAACCTCGTGGATTTTGGATTCTGGTGCAACTCATACTATGACTTGTCTTGCTGAGTCTTTGTTTCTTATCATCCTATTGTTGGTCGTCATACTATAACCGTAGCCGATGGATCCCATAAGTCAGTTATTGGTTCCAGTAACATTCAAATTCAACCTTCCTTATTTCTTCAAAATGTTCTTTATATTCCTCAGTTTTCCACTAATCTTATCTGTAAAGAACCATGGGATACACCACCCTAAAAGCTAGCTCAAAGGGTGAGAGTGCCCAAGACCTTATAAAATCCACATTAGTTGCTTATACAACCAATGTGGGACTATATTATATCTCAACATGTTAGAAATAATATTAGTTTTATTATTATTAATTTATTATTCTAGAAGGTTATTTGGGCTTAGCCCATTAGGTCATTTAACCTCTTTAAATAGACGACTCTTGTACAGTTTTATATAATTGAATACAATACATTCATACATTATAATTTGGTACCAGAGCTCTTTGTTCTGGGGATTTTTCGCTTCCGCTAAAGCCCTAAGCCCACTGCTTAGGCGTTCTCTCCTTCCTCTAACGTTGTGCTTCCCTCCGGCTTGGTTCTACACTGTTCACGCGGGTTTTCAAAAAAAAAAAAAAACTATTGTCCACCGCGTCTGTACATATTTACTGTTCATCGTCTGTACGATCCACTGTTCATAGTGTCCGTACAGATCTATTGTTCATCGTCCGTATGGGTTTGCTGTTCATCGCGTCCGTACGGGTTTGCTGTTCATCGCGTCCGTATAGTTTTACTGTTCACGCGTCCGTACAGGTACTGTTCACGCAAAAAAATAAAAAAATAAAAAAATTCGGCCATTCCGGGACAGAACAGCTCGCCTTCCTCTCCTATTTTCAGATCTGGTAATCTCCTTTATTTTATTTTGTGATGTAGGGCTCAAGTAATGCATCCAAAAACACGACTGGCATCATCTCCAGTACTACCCCATCTCCATTCTTTTCTCGAGCCAGTGATTCCCATTGGAACAGTGGACGCGGTCACAGACATGGCCGCCGACAGAGGCCTCGTTGCAATTATTTCCAGAATCTTGGGCATTTTGAAGAACGCTGCTATAGGAAGTACCCACATTTGAAGCCATCGACTGTCAACTTTGCTCAAACTGATGCTACACCACCTACTGGATTAGTAACTCTTTCTAGTGCCGACTATGAGACACTTCTCAAGAAGGTTTCTTCTCAGCATCCTACTCAAGACACTGGTAATCATGTTGCTTGTTTTTATCAATCATCTCTTGGACCCTGGATAATAGACTCAGGTGCTACTCATCATCTTTGTGGTAATAAAGATCTCTTCATTTCACTTTCTTATTCTAATAACCTACCCTCTGTCACTCTTGCTGATGGCACTAAGGCTCTTGCTCGTGGAATTAGGGAAGCCAATCCAACTCCCCTTTTAACTTTGCGTTCTGTTTATTATATACCTGGCATTCCTTTTAATTTAATCTCAGTTAGCCAGTTGATTCATTCTCTTTCATGTACTGTTACCTTCTCTAAACAATCCTTTTCTATGCAGGATTCGGATACGGGGAAGACGATTGGAGCAGGCATTGAGTCACAAGGTCTCTACTATCTGATTGCACAACCTTCTCCAGTAGCCTGTTCTCTCACAGAGTCTCCTGAGCTAATTCACAGTCGTCTGGGTCATCCAAGCCTCTCCAAGCTTTGGCATATGGTTCCTTTTTTATCCAGTCTTAAGTCTTTAAACTGTCATTCTTGTCAGCAAGGAAAGCACGCTCGCTCCTCCTTTGCTAATAGAGTCAATAAAAGAGCTGATGCTCCTTTTTCTATTGTTTATTCTGATATTTGGGGTCCGAGTCGAACAATGTCTGTTTTGGGTTTTCAGTATTTTGTCACCTTTATTGATGATTTCTCTCATTGCACTTGGGTTTATTTAATGAAAAATCGTTCTGAATTATTTTCAATTTATCAAAAATTTTGTGCCGAGATAAATACTCAATTTGGTGCTTCTATTCAAATTTTGCGCAGTGATAATGCAAAAGAATATGTGTCTCTTGAGTTTTCTAATATTTTGGAGAAACGTGGGAC